GGTGGGTTTTTAATAAATGTTCTTGACTGATTTACTGACTGTTCTTCCTAGCAAGGAAACAGTGCTGCATTTTATTCCAAAGAGGCTATACAGTATTAAAGTATTTTAGGAGTTCTTTGAGGTTGAAGGTAAAGAGTTTGAGAAATTCTGAAGTGTTTAAGAGTGTGAGATTCTGGAAGACTTTTAAATTTATTTTTTGTTTTGAAAATTACTTGTATAATATTTTTTACTCTGTGTAGTATGGTAATGTCTCTCTCTCTAAAAGGATTGTTACAGTTGAGGATGTAATCATTGGTATACATTGTTTCCTTAAAAATTTTTTTTTGTATATTTAAATAATTTTGGCAGCTTAAAATTTTTTTTTTAGATTAAAAAAATTAACACCACCCAGTACTCTCCTTTAAAAAAACCCATTGGGAAACTTCTTGAAAAATAAAGATCTTTGTAAGTATTCATGTTATAAAAACATTATTTGCTTTTAAAAAGGACTCATTGCAGAGTTGTTTTTTTTTTTAAATGGAGAACTCTACAATTGCATTTTCAAGATGATTTTATTTATAAAAAGTAATTTACTCATAACCATTGAGTAAACATCTTCTAATTTATTTGTGTTTAAGTTCAGAAAGTGAGGTGAATTTTTGCATCAGAGTAAAAAACAACAATAGTGGCTTTATTGAAATAACGCCATGCAGTTCACTGTTTGAGTGTATAGTTTAGTGGTTTTTAATACATTCATGAAGTTGTGCAATCATCAACACTAATTCCAGAACATTTTCATCTCTACAGAAAGAAACTTTGAACTCATTAGCAGTAACTCCCTATTCCGTCCTTTTCAGACCCCTGGAAACCATGGATCTACTTTCTGTCTCTATGGATTTATATATTCTGGACATTTCATAGAAGGGGAGTAATACAGTAATAATATAATATATGGTCTTTGGTGTCCGGCTGTTTTCACTTAGCATAAAGTTTTCAGGGTTTATCCACATTGTAGCATGTATCAGTATCTTTTTTTATACTTGAATAATATTCTGTGTATATACCATATTTTGTTTATCCATTTATCAGATGAGTGTTGGATTGTTTCTGCTTTTTGGCTTTTGTGAATAATACTGCTACAAACATTCATGTGAAAGTTTTTGTGTGGGCATATATTTTCATTTTTCTTAGGTATATACTTAGGAGGAGCCATGACATAACTCTAGCATTCTGAGGACTTGCCAAACTATTTTCCAAAGTGATGGTGCCATTTTATATTCTCACCATCAATAAATGAAGGTTCTGATTTCTCCACAACCTCACCAACACTTATTATATTCTCTTTCTTTCTCTCTCATTTTTTTCTTTAGTCTCAACCTTATGAGTATCAAATTATGAAAAACTCTTTTTACCCACATTGAGTTGTCCTGGCACCCTTGCCAAAAATCAGTTAACTATAAACAGAAGATTTATTTTTAGACTCTGAGTTCTGTTCCATTTATCTGTATGTCTGTCTTTATGTTGTTGCCACACTGTCTTAATTACTGTGGATTTGTAATCAGTTTTGAAATTGGGAAGTGTGAGTGTTTCAACTTTGCTCTTTTTCAGGATTACTTTCTGTTCATACAGAATCCCTTACGTTTCCATATGATTTTTAGGAGTGGTTTATCAGTTTATGCCCAGAGAGAAAAAAGCCAGCAGGATTGCTTTAAATCTGTACCTTAATTTAGGTAGTATTGCTATCTCAACAATATTGTCTTCTGATCCATGTACATGAGATGTTCATCTCCCATCTATGTAGGCTTTCTTAAAGTCTTTCAACAATGTTTCATAGTTTTCAGAGTACAAGTCTTCACACTTCTTTTGTTAAGTTTATTCCTAAGTATTTTATTCTTCTTGATATAGTTGTAAATATTCTTAACTTCATGTTTGGATTGTTTGTTGGTAGTGTATAGAAAAGCAATTGATTTTATACATCCGTCTTGTATTCTTGGAACCTTGCAAAACTTGTTTATTAGTTCTCATTGTGTGTATGCATGTGTGAATTCCTTAGGCTTTTCTTTATGCAAGATATGTCATCTGTGGATAGAGATAAGTTTGCTTTTTCTTTCCAATATAGATGCCACTCATTTCTTTTTCTTGCCTAATTGCCCTGGCTAGAACCTCCAGTACAGTGTTGAATAGAATTGGCAAGAGTAGATATCCTTGGATCAGATTCCTAGTGTTTAGTGGTTTGGAAATATGTATTACTGACAATGCTTCTTTGAGAACTTGAAAATCCAGCTTTGTGTCCTCCTGTAGTAACAAAAGTAACAAAATTTCTTCTATTGGAATTTAGCATGCTATTTATTTTTTGAGCATCAAGGCACAATAGATTATAGCATGGCTTTCCCCAAAACTTCAATGCCTCTGTTTTATTAACTTATGAGTATAGTTGAGTAAGAATGAATAATTAGAACATTTATATTATCTTTGCCTCTTAGTCTTAGCTTAGGGTAATACTTTATAAGTTAGCACATTTGAAGGAGGTTTATAATTTGTAATAGATATAGTTAAAAACCAGAGATGATGATAGTGAGGGTGAAGGAAAGGTGTAGTGATTTTATTACTTTTGATAATTTAACTCTACACCCAGCTTCTAATGAGTGTATTTCCTTGTTCAGATTTATTCACTACAGAAAGTGGTAAAAGTAACTCTTCTATACTTTATTCCTTACTGTAGATTTTGTCAGTACTTAGATATCCAATTCAGAAAATAGAATTTCTTTCATATATTGAACATTTCTTGAATATATTCTCTATGTATTATATTTTGCCCTGTCAAACACATGAAGTCAGTATGAGCATGTTTATTCTCTGACTGCATGTAAGATATGTAGGAAGATCAAGTATATGTACTTACTTTGTACTGCTGTGTATTTGTGCTTCAGTGTATGTGTTCTGTCCCTCTTACTAAATGTGAGCTCCTTGAGATTAACCATCTTTGTATTGACATGATGTATATCATAATGCCTCACATATACCATGTGTTTATTATGAATTTGTAAAATGAATGGAGCCACTTAAGTGTAAGCCTCCAGTCAAGTATTCTCACTCAATGGCGTAACTGATCAGTATTGTTGAATTTCACAAATAACAAGGATCAGTATGTCCTGGATTTATTAGGAAAGGCGTCATACAAGAGAAGGTAATTAAAGGGGCTCACACAGGATGAATAAGAACTGAGCAAAGAGAAAGAGCATTTCAACTAGGTGTCATAGTTTGGAGGTCAGTGAGTAGATTATGTTGGTTGGAATAGAAAATTACTATTGGCTTTTAGATATCTAAAGAAAAGGGTGGATAAATAAGGAATATTGTGTTTTGGAGGCCTTAAATTCCATTTTGAAAAGTTTGCTCTTACTCTGTTAGAGAACCATTTGAAATTTTTGGAGGCACAGCAGTACTTTAAGAAGATTTGCTTTGTGATAGCGTGTGTTATGGGTTGGAGGTATTGGGAGAGCACTTATGGAGGTGTGGTAATAATTCTTCTAGTCTGTTGCTTTTTTAAGAACAGAGTTCTTCATTTGCTTTTTCATGCTCAGCATAGTGCCTAGATGAGAGTTCAAATATTTGTTCTTTGGATGCACAAATATATGGACTAAGTCATCTCAGCCTGGGTTGAGCAGTTAGCAGTAGGAAATAGTATATGAGAAGCACTTTGGGGGAAGAATTGAGATGACTTGTTTTCTAAGAGTATAAGGATGTGGGTCAGGTCAAAGATGACATTGAAGTTTCAGCCTGGGTGATTAAGCAGTAGCAGTGCCATCCTCAGAAATAGGGAAGTCAGTGAGGGGAAGAGAGGAGTGAGAAAAGTGACAGTCATGTACGTATTTTTAGACTTGGTTGAGTTTGACATTGAAATCCATAGTACACAGGATTAGTTAGGCTCAAATGAAAACTGAAGTCTGAATGTTTCAATTTAGACGTCGCTACCAAGATATTATTGTTTGAGCAGTTAAAATGATTGGACTGATATAACACTATGTGTGTACCTGGGTGCAGCGGTTGTGTGCATATATACAAGTAGATACAGTCTTAAACACTAGAACCCATTATGTGTCTCAGAGTGCGGATATGCTTATCTGTTAGTGGAATGATGAGGACTGATTCTTTGTGTGAGCAGAGGGGAAAGAAAAGGAAGTTAAAGAAGGAAAAAGGGGACGAACAAAGAGGTAGAACTTATAGGACAAATTTGCCAAGGAGTTTTTGTCTTATGCTTGAATATAATACTAGTAATAACAGCGGTAGTACTCCTGTATGACTTGTTGAGTGCTTCCAGTATGCTAGACATCTGCTAGACATGCTATCTTTTTTACCCTCATAACAAACTTGTGATGTCAGTACTATTATATTTCCTTTTTAACTGATGAGGAATCTCTGAATACTGAAGAAGTTAAAACTTGCCCAAATGACTTGAACTAATAAATAATTAGGAAATCTTGTGAATATAAACCTGACTTTTTGGATTCTGAGCCAAAGGTTCTTTCCATTATACCGAAGGTTTGTATGCTTAATTTCTTCAAGGTCTGGACTTTATCTTTAGAAAATCAGTCCTTGATAAAGGCTTATTAATTAGCAGGCAGCGATTGGACAGTCATGTTTGCTATTAACAAAATCTGCGTGTACTGTGGATGTAGTTGTTTCTACTTTTCTACCTTGGTATTTATATTTATGTGCTTCTCAGGTGGCACTAGTGATAAAGAAGCTGCCTGGGGATCAATGCAGGAGACAGAGGCAGGTTCAATCCCAGGGGTGGGAAGATCTTCCTAGAGGAGGGTGTGCCAACCCTCTCCAGTATAGTGTATTAGGAGGTAGCACTTTTGACTGCATGTTGTGAATGTTAATTTAAAAGAAGGTATCAGTTCTTTTTGTTTCTAAATGAAAGTGCTTTTCAATATTTTTGTTAGAAGTTTTTCTGATGCACTGCTCCAATCATTCATACGTTTGCAAGGAAATAAGAACTGACATTTTCTGTATTACAGGGGATATAATTTTCAATGCCCAGTACCCAGAGCTGCCTCCCGATTTTATCTTTGGAGAAGATGCTGAGTTCCTGCCAGACCCCTCGGCTCTGCATGTGAGTACTACAGGCGTGTTCTGTGTTCGGATGATCTTTATTTGTTGAAAGGAAAACAAAGTTGCATATTCTTTAACAGATATATTTGCTGAACACATAGATTTTTTTTCCACCTCTTTTTTTCCCTCTGTCCTGTGAAATAAGTACAACTCGTTTTGTGCCAAAATTGTTTAAATAAATTTTTTTTGTTTTTCTTCATTGCAGCTTTACTTGAAGACTATTTTGAATTAAAGAAAGCCTCTAGCCTTTTGGTTAAAATATTGTTGCTTCAGCTTAAGGAAACATGTTGAAAACATTTTCTTTGTTTTAACTTAATATTTCATGCCTGCAATCACTTTTCTAATGTTTACTAACACTTCATCACAGGACTTGTTAGGGGAGTGTTTCTCGGCTTTTCATGAGGCCTTTTTTTTGCATAGAAGTGAAAGTGGCAAATTTGGACTTGTATGTGCATTATCTCAGTCTTATTATCAGAATGGTAAAGACCAGATTAAGTGTTCTTTATTAAGCAAGACCAAAAACTTTGTAATTGAAGTAAAATATTTCTGGATTTAAAGCAGAGAAAAGGGTGGTAGAATTGATACTTGTCAGAGCACATGCGGTTTGTATAAAAAGTGTGCTTTTCATGGCTGGTAGAGAAAAACATATGCCATTTTGTTTAAAAGGTCTGACCAGACAAAATGTCTCTTTCTTTCCTTTCCCAAGTTTTGATTTTGCTATGATGCTTGTACCATAAGAAGTTCTATTGTTGTTCAAAAACTTTGTTCTTAGTTGAGTTTTTTGTAAAACTTTTTGCCGCATTGAAGTTTTGTAATTAAAAGTTTGAGAATTTGCTTTGAAATCTTGTCCTCCCTCCTTTTTTTAAAAAGGGAAGTATTAAACAGGAAGTATTAACCCAAACCTAAATAATTGTGTTAAATTTTGGAACACAACTGTAAAAATACAGTTGACAAGAGTAGAATGGATTTGTTACAAAATTTCTAATATTTACACATAAACTGCTACTTTAGGTGATTTTTTTTTTAGTTGTAGTTTATCTGTTCAATGTTATGTGGCAGCCTGGATGGGAGAGAAGTTTGGGGAAGAATGGATACATGTATATGCATGGCTGAGTTCCTTTGCTGCCCACCAGAAGCAACCATCACATTGTTAACTAGCTATACTCCAGTATAAAGTAAAAAATTTAAGAAAAAAAGAGAAAAGAAATGCCAAAAAAAATTTAATTGAAGCTTTGAAAAAAGAATTTAGTTTAAGTTTGGACCCTTTAAGTGCTTCCTGGATAGCTCAGTTGGTAAAGAATCCGCCTGCAATTCAGGAGACCCTGGTTCCATTCTTGGGTCGGGAAGATCTGTTAGAGAAGGGATAGGCTACCCACTCGGGTATTCTTGGGCTTCCCTTGTAGCTCAGCTGGTAAAGAATCTGCCTGCAATGTGGGAGACCTGGGTTCGATCCCTGGGTTGGGAAGATGCCCTGGAGAAGGGAAAGGCTACCCACTCCAGTATTCTGGCCTGGAGAAATCCATGGTCTGTATAGTCTATGGGGTCGCAAAGAGTCGGTCAAGACTGAGCGATTTTCACTTCCCTTTAAATGCTTTGTATTACAAATTCATCCCATGTTGAAGCTGAAGGCCTTACCTGAAGAAAATAAGGCAGTAGTACCCTTATAAGTCTCTCCTGTATTAAACCTGCCCGGTGGAAGGTAGCATATGCTAAATGCCAAAGTTATATAAGAGGCTAAGTGCTCCAGAAGTTTAAGGATACTTGTCAGAAAAGGCTTTGTTGTGGAGGTGAGATTTGTATCAATATTTGCAGAATACAGTGAAAGTGGGGGCAGTATGGTGGAGAGTGTTTCAAGGGCAGGGAATGACATAAACAAATAATAGGTATAATATATTGTAGAATAAGGTGCTTGACAGGTTTGCTGAAGAGTAAGTTAATATAAGGAAGGGCTAGAAAAGGTTAAAAAGATAAAATAGGGTGAGATTGTGGAATGCGTTGAATTCTAGGTTAAGCATCACTGAAGGAAATGAAGCATGGAGAATTGTCTAACAGTAGTGTGGTTAATATAGTAGATGATAAGAAATTGAGGAAGAGAATGGAAAACTGTTGTAGAGATCTAGGTGGAGGTGGGAAAGAGGCTTTAAGCTAAGATGATTCAAGAGGAAACCGATGGAAACGATAAGAAATACATGTTTACAATTAATTTTTTGGAATTGCCTTTAAAATTTGCAAGGCACATCTTCAATATTGGCAAGGATTGTGAGTGTATTAGACCTTATCTTTCTATTTATTTATTTATATACTTATTTATTTGTTTTGACTACAGTGTGGACTTTAAAAGCTGTAAAGGGCTTTAAGTTTTATCTTATTCCACTTTTTGATTTTAGTATTCAGGAAATTGACCTAGATTTATATTGTTGTGTTGGAGTTTATATTATAGCTTCACTTATCTGATGTTTAGTTTTGAGTGGAGTTACCATTAAATGTTTTTGAGAAATTAGCTACAGAAGAACAGCCCAAAAAAGTCAAAGCACTATGTCTAAAAGAAAGATCACACATCTAGGGGAACACCTGTCTTTAGCTATAGTTGATCTCAGACCTCAAGCAGTCTACCCAGTGCTGCTTCATAGACTAGTGAGTGAGCTGGGAAAGCCTAGAGAAACAACTGGATACAACCTTCGCTAGTTGGGTAAAGTCTACACAGCTCTGGAGGGTACCCTGTATCTTTCCAAACAGTACTTTGAAGTAGCTTATAGGATACCCAGAAGGTTAATAAAAATATATGAGGTGGTTATATATATTTAAATATCTTTGGAGAAATGTCTATTCAAATCCTTTGTCCGTATTTAAGTTGGGTTATTTGTCTTTTTATTGCACTTTTTCACCATTTGATAAATTTGGGGCTATTTGTTAGGTATCTGTTTCTGCTCAGGTGACCGAATGCCCTTGTTCAGGAGAGAGGGATTTTCTGGGATTTTTATGTTCACTGTTAAGATGGGACAGTCCTGGGGGAACTGGGATACATGATCACCATGTTTATTCACTGGACCGGAAGCTTCTTGAGAGAATAGAGTTTGTTTTGTTTCCTGTTGTAACCTAGCATCTACAAGAGTGCCGGGTGCATTGAGATTAGAAGAAGAGTTTGCATTCAAGGTTCTGTTTTCCTCAAGGGACTTGTTGGTTTCCAAGACTGAAATGCTTTAAGTGAAAAATTCAAGCTAGAAGAAAAATTACAGTTTTGAGAAATTTGGGGGATAAAAATCAGTTAACAGAAACTCTGAAGCAGTGATTTTTCAGCCTTGCTTTTGCAACACCCTGTGGTGTGTTCAACTGCCTCAGAAGGTATTGTGAAATTCTTTCCCCTCAAAGTAACAGTGATAATTCACTTTAATTTAAAATAAAATTGCATAAAGGAGGAAGGGTGGATCGTACGTTTAAATGAGAAGAATGTGTCGCAATTATCGTGTGTTAGAAACCACTGATATCTGACTTCCTAATTTAAAGAAGGTGACAATCTTGTGTTTGGGACAAGCATCTTCAGGGTAGGGAACAGGTAGTAGCTACTGTTGTGTAATTCCTTTGCTGACTTCGCACTTGTGTAATTCCTTCGATGTTCTGCTCACATGAAATGTGAGTGTATAAAGAATATTGTACTAGCATCTTGTGTCTCCTCCCCTGCTCTTCTCTGTGCTGGAAGACATCTTTTGAATGTGTCCATGCAAAACAGTCCATATCTGGTGTACATAAAAAGTATTTGAAATACATGTGAAGAAAGCACTAAGCTGAGATGGACTGCATGGCCTATTATTGAAAAATGCCATCCAGGTGTGTGGTGCTCCCACTCCTGGACACGTCCATTGCCATGGCCACTAATGCATTATAAAATAGGATGCTCTGCATTTTTCAAATATCTGTTTAATGTTTCATTGGAGACCTATAAAAGAGTCATCTTTCACCCTGAAGCTGGACATAATGCTGAAGACAAGTAAATGAACAGAATTGCAGCCTTGGGTGATATGAACAGGAATAGAGGTGTATGCACAGGGTGCTATGGGACGTGTAGGGGAGAAGTTTATCGGATCCATGGATAGTTAAGTGTCGGTGACTTAAAAATATATTATTTGGTTGTTTATGCTCTCTTCTTCTAGAAGGTTCATCGTTCCCTTCTAGAAGGTTCATCGTATCATAGGCATATACGCATTGATGGATCACCTTAATCTGCTGGGTTGAGGCTGACTTATGGCTCTTGTCAGGATGTGTCTACCTCTGGTTTGCTATTGCTCTTGAGGTAGAGCTCTTCAGGATTTTTAACCGAGAATCTGGCATGGTCAATATTCCTAGACCCTTCAAAGTGCTTGGGCCAATAAAATATTTTAAAATATACTGACGTGTTATTTGGACTTCCCTGATAGCTCGCTCAGTTGGTAAGGAATCCGCCTGTCATGCAGGAGACCCCAGTTCAATTTCTGGGTTGGGGAGATCCGCTGGAGAAGGGATAAGCTACCCACTCTGGTGTTCTTGGGCTTCCCTTGTGGCTCAGCGGGTAAAGAATCTGTCTGCAATGCGGGAGACCTGGGTTTGATCCCTGGGTTGAGAAGATCCCTTGGAGAAGGGAAAGGCTACCCATTATCAAATTATTCCAGTACCCACATGGCATGGATCTTAAATTTATTTAAATTGGAGGATAATTGCTTTAAAATGTTGTGTTGGCTTCTCCTAAACATCAGCATGGGTCAGTCATAAGTATACCTCTGTCCCCTCCCTCTTGAGCTTCCCTCCCACCCTCTAGGTTGTCACCCAGCACCAGGTTGAGCTCCCTGTGTCCTACAGCAAATTCCCACTGGCTATCTATTTTACATACGATAGTATATGTTTCAGTGCTACTCTCTCAGTTCATCCTTCCCTCTCCTTCCCTCACAGTGTCCATAAGTGTGTTCTCTATGTCTGTGTCTCTATTGCTGCCCTACAAATAGGTTTATCAGTACCATTTTTCTAGATTCC